AAAAAAAAAAAATGAAGAAAACGAACAAAATATTGTGTATGGCAAAGGTACAAAGAAATCTTCACGGCGAATGCAATCACAATTCACACCTTGAGATACGCGCCCGAGATACAGATACAGATACGAGCGAGCACAGATACAGATGCAGATACTTTTGTAGGCTGCAATTAGCGTCGTCTTCGTTTTTTGCCTTTGATGTGGCACTTGCGACAGCAACAACAAAATTTTGTGTGAAGTTTGAAATTAAATTGAAAACCAATTGAACGAAATAAAACTTGAAAGCGCGTTGGGAAAAAATCAATAAGCACATTTAATAAAATAAACGTTTCGTATTTTTCGTCGTCGTCGTTGTTATTGTTGTAGTTGTTATTTTTTCGGAAAATAGGCTGTAAATTTAATCATAAAAAACCAAAGCAAACTGTAAAAAGAATTAAATTAAATGAAATGTTGCAAGTGCCGTCGACGACCAACAGGAAATACGCGCCACGACGCGCTGGCAAGAGGGCAGGACGGGGACGAGCGGGGGCCTATGCGGCAGCCAGTGAAGCGCCCCCGAGGCACAGCGCAATAAAATAATGAAACATGAAAGGAGAAGAGAAAAACCCGAACGACTCAAAATCGAATTTTGTATACACTGCATAATAATTATTAAATAACTATCTTATATTCACATCAAATTAGATTCTTAGATTCTTAAGCTATAAAAATGCTTAAAAATACTTTAAAGAGCAATTTAATTTATGATCATAAAGTAAGCTTGAAATGGAAATATGCCTGTCACAACTAATGAAGTCTTGTGTTACGAAATTGTTGACTTTCAAAAATAATAATTCTTGGAATAAATATAGCATTCTCTTTGTCAGAAATAACAATGGAAAGCCAAGCGTTTATTATTCTTTTCATTGCAGTGTAGCTGCTCGAGAAGCGCTTTTATATCTACGAAAAGTTGAATTTGAATTTGAATCGAACAGCAGAAACGAGTTGCATGTGATGGGAAATAGATTAAATGCGCAGGGTATTGACGGCACTTGGTCTCTTCGTGTGGAGCAGGGAGCTTTGGATGGCTGCCTGCTGAAGTCGAACAACAGCTGCTAGTGCTGGCGTCTGGCGTCGGCAGCGCAGTCGACGTCTGGGCAACATCAAAAGCCCGTTCGAGTGGCGGCTGCCACTTTTCAAGAGTGCGAAATTAAAACAAAATGTTGCAAGATGCTGCTGCAGGCTCTGACTTGAGCGACGCCTCGCCCGTCACCCCTGTCCCCTCGCCACACTCACGCTCTTTGATTTCATTTAGCTGATAAGCCACAGAGAGGCAGGAATAGAGAGTTGGCCGCGGGCAGGGAGGGGACATTCTCTTATCCACATCATGCGTAAAACGGCGTCAAAATGCAAATGTTGTACAGGAAACTGGCAGGCGGTTCAGATGTTGCATGTTTCCCCTGCCCCCTGCCAGCCCGCACTGCCCGCGGACTCCCTTGAGCCAACATTGATACATCCTTCTGGACACACAGCGTAAATAAATATTTTACTTTTAATTTATGTGCAATGCCTGCTGCAGTTGTTGTTGTTGCTGCTGCTGCTGTTGCTATTGCAGTTGCAGTTGTTGCAGTTGCTGTTGCTGTTGCTGTTGCTGTTGCTGCCAGCGAGCGTGAAAATGATTTTGTTGCACAGTCGCTGAGGGGCGCATTGTAAAATTTATCGTCATGCAAAATGTAAAAGCTGACAGCCAAATAAGTTGCCCAAGCCCCCATTTCGCTAGGAAAGTGCGCGAAATTGGATTTATATACGAGCAAACATATCTACGCATATATACTTCATATTTCAAATTGTTTATGGCTATGCAACAAACCAGATACAAGTTGTGAACATTTTTGAATATTTTATTTCATATATGTTGCAGCGAAAACGGTGTGTAAAGCTTCATATATGTATATATCAAATTAGTATGATTCTGTTTGCGTAGAAAGATTATGCAAAACTAGAGGAAAATATAACAATTTGACTTTAAACAAGAAGAAATGGAATTTAGGGAGATTTAAGCACACAAATATGAATATTGCAGAGTGCTACCTCTTCGTCGACAAATAATTTTAGTAAAGTTCTTCATTCTAACGCTAATTCAGACTTCCCATTTTCTCTCAGTTCTCCCAGTGTTATTTAATTGTCTTAGCACAACAAAAACTTATTAAATATTTTTTTCAAGGTAATTCACAATTGAATGTTGAATTCATTGAAACCCCAAATAGAAAGAAATCCAATACCACTACTATTTTTCTCAGAGTGTAAGCACACACCGCAAAGTAGCCCTTATACCCGTGTATTTATAGTTGATGATCAAGTATTTATAGTGGCTGCTACGTGAGAACTTCAAGAACTTCAAAGGTATCTGATTTAAGTAGAAACTGAGCTGGCGATAATATACATACATATGTATAGCATAAAATCGTGTAGCTTAGACACTTCTTATGGGTGCTCGCCATCTGGTGGCAATTAAATCGTATCAAGTGTCAAGTTCAGTTGCCACACTTTGATTTGCCGCAGTGCCCGCCAAGATGTAGCCGAAGGGCGTGCATGCTCGAGAGGTCGAGAGGACCTCGAATGCCACTTTCATGTGGTCTCCTCGAGCCACTCGTAGAGCTCTAATGAAATCCGCAGCCAATTGCAAATAAATGTCACACATCGAGGCACTCGCACAGCTGACACATTTGACTGTCTCGCTGGGCAAGGGACGGGCAGACAGGCAGACGGGCTGACTCAGTCTGAGGCAGCTTAACGAGCATGGGGCGTGGCAGTGGCAAGGGCAGCGACAGAGGCAGAGGCGGTTCATTGCTCCAGCGAGTAACATATGTCAAGTATTATGGCTTGATGTCTATGTAGTGCACGCTACCGGAATGCCGAAATATTGTATATACGGAGCACAGACAACGACTCTAATTGCAAAGAATGTTTCCATGCCGACAAATGTCGAAATAATGTTTCTAGCCGGAACAACCCGACAGACACAGCTGAACTGAACAGAGCAGAAACAACACGAAAGATTTATCATATTCAGTCGACTGTCATAAAAAGCAATTAGGCTTGAGCGAAAGATACTTACGAACGGCAGCCAGAGTTCCCAAAATCAAAAGTACAATGCAATAAAACACAAACAAGTGTGCAGCACTGCTAAGTGATGGTCACAGGAATACCCTGTAATCTACATAATCCATACGATTATTGAGTCTGAATGGAAAAAACGTAGATTATTATAGAGGCAACTGCGAAAACGTTAATCTCAAATAAAGTCAATTACAGTTACAGTAAAATCCATAGAGATTTGAATTTTAGATTCACATTTTACTTATAGTAGAATTCAACGCTTTAATTTCCTTAACATACAGATATATTTCTTTTATAACATATGCTATATAGTATATCTTCTTCTTCACTAATACTGCCTACCAGAATCATTCTATTAGTATCTACTACTGCTGCTTAATTACTTTTTACATTTTACAGGGTATTTTAGGACCGACTAGAGTGTAATTAAGAGATGTGTGATTTGAAGTATTTGGATTCATTCTTTTTTTGGTTGGCCGCTTAATGAGCCGCAGCGGCAGAGCAAAGGAAAATGGGCCTCGAATTGGGAGTCGGAGTTAAAGTTCTGACTGGGACATTAGGGTGGGGGTAGGAAGTTGAAGAAACAGTTGTTGAAGCGATTAAAGAGCCAAATTCACTGTTGGGGTGGTTGTTGCTGTTGTTATTGTTGTTGTTGTTGCTGTTGCTTTTGTAATTAGTATGCCCGCACACACGCCAGTCAGGCTCCCTTTGAAGGGCACTCACAACAATAGAGCCGGGACAGGCCCTGTTCGGATCTCTCCTGCTTACTCGTTTTTATTCTCCTCCCGTATTCAAACCGCGCTGGTAATTTTAGCTGGTGTGAAAAAGTATACCTCATGGCAAATTGTAGGCTGCCTTCACTAGCTGTTGTTGTTGTCGTTGTTGGCCGTCTGTTGCATATTTTCACAAGTAATTAACATGTACACGTTGTCGCTGCCTGTCCCGTTCAGGTTGCCAGCCTTGTCCTGCCTAGGATGTGAGGCTCTCTCTCCCTCTTTGTGTGCGTGTGTGTGTGTGTGTGTTTATGTGTGTGCCTGTTACTATAACTGCTGAGCAACTGTCCAAACAGGCCGCGTTCCCATTCCGCACTCTCATTCGCCTTTGTTTATCAGACTTTGCCATGCCGGGCCGGGCCATAACAAAATGTTTCCTTAACATTAATTTGCATTATATTTACATTTAAATTTTAAATGAGCTGGCAGCGCTGAAGGTGCAGCTCACTACATAAACAAGCCGTGGTCCCGCGCCGAGAGGTGGCCAATGTCAATGAGAGCTGGCAAATTGTATCCAATTTGCAGCAAGAGGCAAAGCTCCGCAACGAATTGCTAGAAAAGCAATTAAAAAACTTTTCGAAATTCGGGGGGAAACATCAAATGAAACATAATCGAATCAGTCATACGACGTTGTTTACCCCATATAATATAAAATATGCATGGAAATATAGACAGCTGACAAAAACTGAAAGCGATTTTCAGTGCTTGCTCACTTTTGGTACTAATGGAAATCATTCTTATAATTAGTACAGAAAAAGAAAAGGAAATGTCTATATTTATAATTATGTATATGTTTAAGGTACCTGAATTAAATTAATGCAGATTACTCTCTACATTATTTATATAGAATAATCAAGTATTTCTCTGCCTACAAATTTTAGTCTTGGATTAACTTCAAATTTCTGTTTCAAATTTAAATACTTTAAGGAAAAGGCTGCTTCCAACTTAGGGACTGTTACTTCTGTACTTCAAATAAATAAATTAGTGTAAACATTTATTTCTGTCCCTCCCTCTCTCTTGGTATTCCTCTTCACCTTGGCTTAGTTTACCTGCTGGCTTCACAAATTCATTTAATTTATAAGTAGTTCGCCCTTCACCGCAATATTTATCGACAAGCAATTTCTCTTGCAGGCTACATTTGATAATTTTGCTTTCTTCGAACACTTAAGAGCGGAACGTAAGGCGCGAAAATGTTCCGCAGTTTCATGAATTTAACAAACAAATATAAAATCTTACGAGGCATGATATCATATGGGACCCTGTGGCCGTGCGGCAGCCTCATCGAGCAGACGCTGATCGAGAAACGGACATTCCGCACCTACGACTGGATGAAGTGTCTGAGGTGAGGGCAACAGCCAAATATTGTCCAGCAGCTGCTCTGGCTGATAATTGGCATCGATTACTCTGTGGTGTTGGTGTCTCCTTTTCTTTTTCCTCTTCACTTTTTTGTGTGGTTATTTTATTATTGCAGATTCAGTTTGTTTGGCTTCTTCTTTATGGGACCGACCATATATGTTTGGATAAGACTGGCCACCGTCATGTGGCCCCGCACAGATATTAAGTCATCTCTCTGCAAGGCGATCACCGAGCAGACGGCCTACGATCCCATGGCCATTAGCTCCTTTCTCTTCACCATGACTCTGATGGAGGGCAACACATACGAGCAGGCCAAGCAGGAGGTACGTTGAGTGTCTCCATCGATCTCTTTTTCCCTCTCTCTCTCTCTCTCACTCTCTTCCTCTCTCTTTTCTTGTTAATGTCTTTCACTCCCAATTTGATGGGCCACTTCGAGTAATCCAGTTGATCTGATAGCTGGCTCTTGCTCTGTCTCCTCCCCTCTTTCTCTCTTCCTCTTCATCTCGCTGTCTTTCATCTTTTCGTTTTGTAATCGTTATGATTATTGTTATTGCTCTGCAGCGCGCTGATAAAAATTGTGTTTATTGGTCAGTGTTCAATTTGTTATCGTTATTGTAATCGCTATCGCTATCATTAATCGCATTATCGAGGGTATTCAACTCTCTTCTGATATGCATAATCGTAGGTGCATATTGTGTTCCATATATATTCCTGACCAAAGTCTACATTAAATTCAATATAATTAGTCATAGTTCATTGTATGAATAACTTGTTTGTCTTTAAGCCATCTTCAGCAAAGGAATTTAATACAACTAAATTTTAATATATTGAAAGCTGTTATTTAATATAATCTCAGGCCGCTGAATAGCTCTCGATATTTACAAAATCGGTTAAGTTTTTCAATATTTAACTCAGAGAGAAATAATGCGATGGCCATAAACTTTTCGCGTCAATGCACAGCTACAGCTACAGCTACACTCTACAGACGTATTTAGTCTTTATTTCGTATACTTTGTTTGTTTTGTTTTGAAATTCGGGCTTTGGGCATAACAAGCTGTCGCCGTGTACTTTAAGCAACATATGCGTATGTGTGGGTCTTTCGGAAATACATTTTCTCACGACAGTTACACTCGACTGACTGGCCCAGTATCTGGGCCTCCGTTCATGTAGCTGCTGAAGCTGTATCTGTCTGCCAGCATCTGTAACCGTGCATAAATATCACCTGTCTGTCTCGCTGTCTCACTGTCCCGCTGTCTCGCTGTCTGCGCTTGGGTCTGTGTCTCCATCTGTGACTCTGTGCCGAGTTGTCAGCATTGATTTGTTGGCTTGGCGGCCCCAACTTCCCCCAGTCGAGTTACTTCTATATCATTAGAAACCATTTATCTTGATAAATGTAAATGTTTTACCATATATTTATGTCAACCGTGCGTTGTCTCATTTGGCTTGCATGCGTTTTCCCAGATCTGCGACTTTGCGTTCGATTGGCAAACTTTGGCCGAGCGGCAACCGATGAAGATGTTTTTTGCCAAGCAACTCTATAAACAACTCCGTTTGCCATTGGCTATGCCCAGAATAAAGTATAACAAATTTAATTCATCAATTAATTCAGTTGAGGTTCAATAATTGGATCTTTCTCTTTTTTTTTAAGTCTGTATCGTAAATAAGTGCATTAACTTTATTTTTTAAGCCCAATTTGTGCTTAATTAGTAGCTTAACGTAATTAGCCATTCGCGCCGCAATTTATTATACCCTGAACCCATTGAAAATGGGAAATCAGGGTATAATGGTTTTGTTAAAAGTATGTAACAGGCAGAAGGAGGCGTGGCAGACCCCACAAAGTATATATATTCTTGATCAGGGCGACGAGCTGAGTCGATTTGGCCCTGTCCGTCTGTCTGTCCGTCCGTCCGTCCGTCCGTCCGTCCGTCCGTCCGTCCGTCCGTCCGTCCGTCCGTCCGTCCGTCCGTCCTTATGTATGAACGCGTCGATTTCAGAAGATATAAGAGCTAGAGACTTCAAATTTTTTTTNATATTGCCCACACTGCAGCGCAGCCCAAGCGCAGTCGCTGCTTACTGCGCAGTTAGCAGAGCGCAGACTTATGCGTGCGTGTGGATGCATGTGTATGTATGTGTGCATAAAAGAAGTGCAGAATGATTAGAATATCAGCTTGGAGGGTTCAGGGTATCTCCTAGTCGAGCAGTCTCGACTGGAGCTTTCTTACTTGTTTTCTTTGTTGTTGACTTTTGGCTGGGCCAAAAATAAATATCATTTTCACAAGTTTCCCAATGGCCGACGGCAGCAAATGTGGCCAAAAGTGAAAATGTGAAATGCCAAAAGGCTTTTTTAATTAACAACATTAACAAAATGCCTCGCCCATACACACACATTCAAATACACCAACTTTGCTCGTAAATAAAATTTTTTTTGTTTTGTTTGCAAAAATTTCCTCTCCACTGTCACATTATAACAATTTTGTGCGCTGGCACTTAAAATTATGCCACGCCCATAAACGCACTATCTTGATGTCTACCTCTCTCTCTCTCTGTGCAGGTTAGCGATAAGTTCCTGGATGCCTACAAGGTCGGCATTATTTATTGGCCCTGCGTGCAAACAGTTAACTTTGCCTTTGTTCCGGCCAGAAATCAGGTAGTTTTCACCTCCTTTTTCAGCATGTGCTGGACCACGTTCCTGGCCTATGTGAAATTCCTGCAGCTGCATCCTCCTGTCGATGTTGACCATCATGCCGTGGACATACACTTTTTGGAGATGTGAAGAGATTGAAGCACATTTAAAATAAACCTAAATAAATATTAACTTTAATTCTAATTATGTTTACAGCTGTATTTTATTTTCGGAAATTCAGTTCTTGGCCTGACCTCACTTAAATTGCCTCTCATTTCGTTTGTTTGTCACTGCGAGCACGTATGTACACACCCTGTATACCCTATAATATACCCTGCACTTAAGGCAGCCATTAATTGTCGCTGATAAATGGATTGTGATAAGTTTTGTTGCTTTAGTTGGCGTCGCGCTGTATTATACTCCATGTGGCACACTCACACACACAGCCAACCCCATTGACTTGGGTCACATTTATTGCCGTTGTTTTTTATCATTTCATATTAAAGTAACTAATTAACGATCTGTTCTTTTCTGTTCTGTTCTGTTCTGTTCCACACATCATATTAGAGCGACGTCTGTGTCTGCGGCGTGTTTTATGGCGCTCGTGGGAGAGCAAATGGTCTTGGCGGCTGCCACTGGGCACTGCATGGGGCTTAGTTTTAACGATGGTGTCAAGCATTTTACTAGCTAATATGCCAGGGGATATTAAAGAGCTGCACATGACAGAGCTAAGCCAAAGAATGAATACTCTATTAGACAGAGGGATTCATTTCGAATTTTTATTGGGCCACAGTTATGACATAATATGGAGTGAGTCGGCTAAGATTGCTGAGCAGCTGGCAGTAACTGAGCTGGATCAAGATAACTTGAAAAACATAAAAGAGCTTGCTTAGCATAACTTAAAAACATGCAGGAACTTATATGACATGTGTGGTAATCTGATATAGTTCATATATTATTTATATGATCTATGGGTTCATAAAAAACGTAAATGCCAAGCCTAATCTTGATAATTAACAGAAGATATGAGTTGTTTTTACAAAAAGTACCTTGATGAAAGACGTAGACAAATCAAGATTAATGTAGGTAATTTTAGAGCAAACTTAAGTTCTTTATACTTTGCATCCATAGAACACGCTTCGATTAGGTAAAGTTCTAAAGTTCTATCTAAAACAACTTCAATTATAATTGCTTAAAGCAGAGACTAGTTTAAAGATTCAATATATTTCATATATGTACATAGGAGTATTTTCACATATTAAAAAGATTAATGTATGCGATAGAAATATTATCAGAGAAATGGAAAAGGAAAATTTTCTTTTTAGGAAAAATAAATTTTCCGTTTCAATTTAAATACTACAAGAGAGATAGTTTAATTAGAGCAGATTTTAGGGTAACATCTGACAACTCTGACATATGCATATTTGCAGTCCGCAATCAAGTCGAAAGCTCGAAACGAAATCCAAATGAAAGTTGGGCATCAAATTGACCCGTTTTATTTTACATATGCGCTTCAAAGAGCCGTATATCAAAATTAATATGGATTTGTGTTTGGTTTGTTTGTATATTTCTCTCTCACTCTTCGTTTATTTTTTTCGCTTGCTTTTTGGGCTGCATTTAAATGCGAAACCATATTGGGAGAGTGTCTGGAGGGGGTTTTCAGGGATTCAGAGTGCTCGACATGCGGCGTCTGCGTGCCGAATGCGAGCTGAATGCATAAATAATGCCGATTTAGATTATTCTGAAACAGGCAGGCGAAAATAAAATAAACAAGTAAGAAAGCTCCAGTCGAGACTGCTCGACTAGGAGATACCCTGAACCCTCCAAGCTGATATTCTAATCATTCTGCACTTCTTTTATGCACACATACATACACATGCATCCACACGCACGCATAAGCCTGCGCTCTGCTAACTGCGCAGTAAGCAGCGACTGCGCTTGGGCTGCGCTGCAGTGTGGGCAATATTATGAGAATTTATTTGTTAAATAATTTCTTTTGTAGACATACGATCTTAATGAAACTTTTAGAGCGTAATCATATGGTGAATATGTGTGTATATTCCANAAAAAAAATTTGAAGTCTCTAGCTCTTATATCTTCTGAAATCGACGCGTTCATACATACGGACGGACGGACGGACGGACGGACGGACGGACGGACGGACAGACAGACGGACAGGGCCAAATCGACTCAGCTCGTCGCCCTGATCAAGAATATATATACTTTGTGGGGTCTGCCACGCCTCCTTCTGCCTGTTACATACTTTTAACAAAACCATTATACCCTGATTTCCCATTTTCAATGGGTTCAGGGTATAAAAACAATATAAACTACAGTCAAACGATGAGAATGACGAGGATGACAACGCAAATGACGACGACGACGGCGACGACGATGATGGCGACGAGGCTGATAATCAGCCATGGGTTGTTCGAATTAGTATGGAAATTTATGCAAGGCAAGAGGCTGAGGAAAAGCGAAACCGCAAACATACGCACGCACAACCACACACACACACGCACGCACATGTGAGGTAAAAACTCTCTTATCAGTGGCCATGGAAAACGTGGCGCACTTCCTGATCTCTGCTGTTTCCCTCCCTGTTTCGCTCTCTCTCTCTCACTCTCTCTCTCGCACATCGTCCAGCTGTGAAAAACAATTCGAACTGAAAGTTTCATTAAATTCACCCAACCACACCCCACTCCACCCCGCCCTGACGACCGGCGCTGCCTTAGCCGACGCCTGGCAAGGCAATTTCCTATCCACCGAGCGCCCATTTCTCAGTGTCGCTGAAGTTCGCCTTTGTTGTTGTTGCTGTTGTTGTTTTATAGCGCATTAATTTCGAAAGTAGCGCTACGTGTGCCAAAAATCATTAGCAACGGAATTACGCTCAATGAAATGCAGTCAACGTCGCGACGTCTGAGCAGGGGCACGAAAGATAGAAAGAGGCAGGGAGAGAGAGAGACAGGGCCATCAAACAAACCAACAAAATAAAAGGGGGCAGATAATAAAGCGTGGCCAGGCTGAGGCTGAGCGCTGGGGAACAGCGACGTGGTGTTACGGAAAGTTGCGTCGAATGCCTGACGCCCGGCCAACCAGCCAACCAACCAACCAACAAACCAAGTAAGCAACCAACCTACAGAGCGACCGACCGACCCAGAGCCCATCCCAACGGCAGCAGTTCGTAAAGCGCTGCTTATAAATTCACCCTAACGACAAGTTAAATGCCCAACGTCGAGGGTTCGAGTTTGACTTCTGCCTCGGCGCTGGCAAGGCAGTAAGCGGGGGCGGAGAGGTAGCTAACAGGAGCACAGGGTAGACCGAAGCGCAAATGCTCTTACTAAATCAAAGTTTAAGATTAACGGGAAATTTGTTTAATTAACTGAAATTTAATAAATAAATTCAAGCAAAATATTAGCAAACTCTATATATGTAATACATATGTATACATATATTTGTGTTTCATTAGAGGCATGTATATATTTATAAATACTTTCAAAATTCTGCTAATATATTGAATGTTAATGACAGTTCAATATTCTAGAATATCATCATATGATATTCTTATCTACTATTTCTCTGTATTCCGCTATTTAGGTAGATCGGACATAACTGTATAAATTAAAATTATTTATTAATAACAACAATTGCATTCACAATCTTACCAGTTGTAAGAAACTTTGGCTGTCTTCCACATATCAGTGATCAAATTGAGCAAATAAATAATGAAATTATTATTCAAGGAGGGAGGAACATCCTTATTGGCGTAGCCAAGGCACAGTTGATGCCCTTACATCCAGTTAAAAACAAAATTTAATCAGCATAATCAGTGGAATTTTCAATTTCCCTGCGGGCCCATCGGGTATACGGCTTGCGGCTGCCGTCACAGATTCGGCTCGCTCTTTGCATCGCACCTGAATGCGTTTTCGGGTATCTGGCAGCGGCGTAGGAGTGTCTGGAATGCCAGCATAGCCTGCTGATAGTCCCAATTCGTATCTCTCAAGAATCTGCTGCTCCAGCGCAACTTGAGTTGCGTCTCCGCCGACATCAAGGAAGCCAGATTGCTTTGAAGAGGAGTGAGAACGGGCGGCTGCCGTTCGCCGCGGCCAACACGACTGAGATAGATGAGCTCATTGGCTATGCGAAAGTCGGCCGTGTCGTCCTTTCTGGTCAGCACAAAGCTTCGCATATAATGGCGCCGATGGTTGGCCGAGCCATTCTCCTCAAAGCTGCCCGTAATGGAGACGCACAGCATGAGCGGCTGCACTAGGGTCAAGTCCATGGTCATCGTTCCAGGCAAATGCACTGTTGTTGGCCAGGCCGCAAACATATGGAGCGTAGCTTCCCGGCAGGCCAGCAGCTGACGGCTATAGATAGCGTAGGGCGCGGTCCTGTGGAGGAGATAAAAGAAACTTGGAAATCGGAAAACTAAACTAGGACTCTTTGCTGGCTTCACTTACCATGTGCCCAGCATGGCGTGTTCCTTAGCCAGTGTTAGGGAGACCAGCACATGCTTTTGATAGAATCGTTCCAGGCTTGTGATCCTGTCACCGCCATCGAACGCCTTTATATATCGGCGCACGAACTTCCTGACGCCCATCGGCTTTGGCAGCGTGTGTGAAGCCAGAAACGTGACGCGTGGTTCAGGCAGGACAATTGGCTTGACCTCGGTGACGGAGACTAGCTCCACGTCGCTATCGGTATTATGAGTACTATCCAGATCGCTTTCGTTGTCGCAGAGGTTGACTGTGGGTACCGAGGGGCTGCGCCTCACGCATCGGCCGTTGAGCATGCACAGGGACGGAAACATGACGAGGACCTGTTGCTCATAGTTGCGGGGCAGCAGATTCCGCTTGAGCGAGAGCTCGGTGAGATGCAGGCGCTGAAAGACGCGCAGCTCGCGCAGCGTCTTCAGCTCGTTGTGCTGCAGCGAGATCGAGTGTAGGCGTGGCAGTCGCTGATCTACGCCACGAAAGCCACCCAAATGGCACATATGATTGTTGTCCAGCAGCAGGCGACGCAGCTGCGGAAACTCCTGCTCCATGATGTCAATGGTCGCCTCGAAGCACTCGAACTGCTGCAGGGCACAGAACTCGCCCTTCCACTGGTCATCCGCATAGAAGCGACACAGATTCAAGCAGCGCTTCTTCGCATCGTAGCGGGACATTATCACCTTTCGCAGCTTCCACTTGTACGCCTCGTCC